ATTCCTGGACACAGCTCCCAACGGGCACTGACTTGATGGATCACAGCGGGAGAAAATTATAAACTGGAAAATGAAATATTTCCGAGACTATTTCCATCGGTCGATGCCGTTCTCGATATTCGCGGTGGAGCAGGGAAGGACTTTTCGAGCTATTCTCTAAAGAGGTGCGTCATATATGGACACACATACCTAGACCCCTCCGCCCCCCTCGGATATCGCCTAAAACGGTCGAGTCGAACCGAAACGATTGACTGCTGGCGGAAGTGATCGATCGTCAGTCCTTCGAAATCGACGATATCGTGGACGATGTGTGCTTTCGCTCGATCTCTGCGTTTTTCCCGTCATCAGTTCATGATTCCCTTCTCCTCGTCCCCTCGTCGAGTTGTCTCGTCAATCGCCGGACATTCATCACCGATTCCTTAATCCGTACACCGTGATCCAACCATAAATGCGCCGGAGTGCGACACGGTGCCCGATTGCGTACCCATCGGATGAGATCGCTGAAGCCGCGAGTGATTCGCAGGAAGACATCATAATGATGGTCCCCTGTGATCATAATCACAGATTCGCGACACGAGAAGGAAAACTAATATGATGCTTACGGCACAGACAGTGGAATGATTATCATTATGCTCATTTCTGTCGTTTGTGTTCGTTTTGTGGTCGTCGAAAGACCATTTGTTTTTTCTCTTGCCTTGTTTCTGCTGCCAAAAACATCATCATCATCATCGGCAAGAACGTCAACACCACTGCTGCTGCCAGACGAAGCAATCATGAAAGGAGATGACGATTTCACTCATCACTGCTCGATTCATGCGTTTCCGAACGTCGCGCCGATCTTCTTCCGAACGCCACCGCTTTGTCCGTGGATCGATCCTTGGCATGACGCACACGATCCCCGTGCTTACCAGGATCAGATTGCGTTTCCGGAGGCGACTATGGAACGTCTGCCCTAAAATCTGAGCGAGAGCAGGGGAGGTACTGAAGACTTCATGTCTACCGTGCGGGAAAAAAGTCGAATCGTCGGGATGTCTGTCTCGGTGGGATCCGGTTTTTCGACTTGCGGGAACAGAGGGCGACTTTGAGAGAACGTCGATCGACAACTGAATACGCGACGGAAACGTTCGCGAGGATCAATCAAGGGAATTTTTGGAGAGAAAACAGACTGTCACAGAATACCAAGGTCCTCGCTCCAAATGCTCCTGTGCCTCCCTGGAGGAAATAGATGAGTTCCGGTGGTATGGCTTGTTCACAAATCCATGGACTGGAAACAACTACTCCTTATTCTATGAGGAGGGACGACTCAAAATCGCCTTGTTCCCGACGGGTCGACTGAAAAAATTAATTCCCGCATGCATTACATATGATCGATCTATCGAGATTCGGAAATCCATATTGTTTTTTTTCCTTCAATGAAGTTGTGCCTTTCCCGTTTGCCGTGTGGGCAAGGTACTCTCCTGATCACCTAGATCTATGGCAATCGACCTGGGATCAGAGATGGTCAAGCGGACTTTCTGGAACGGCTAAGAGCGGATTGACGCAGGTGGCAAATAATTTGACTCAGTCAGCCAGCTCGTTTCCTTTGCACAAGAAGTCTTGTGGAGAAAAAAAACATTCTTCCCAAAGAGGAGAATGCCGAACAGGGAATGTCCGTCTGCCAGCTATAAGGTTTGCCTCGTTGTTGGTCGCTGCCGTTGCAGCCGCTCGCTCGGACCGATGCGTGGTGGCCTTCCGACGGCGGCGGCGGCGGCAGCAATGATGGTGATGCTCTTCTAGCCGTCGAGACGTGCAACCAAGAAGAATTTATGCTAGCTAAGATTTACGACCGGCAGCTACTCGGATGAAAGGCTGAACAGAAACCAAACGCACACGCCGCGCTAGCCGTCCGCTCGATCGGCGAAGAGTCGGAGCTGAACCGAAATACAGGCGAGACGATTCCGAATTCGGGAAAAGTCGATGGACGCGGCGTATTCGATCGCACACGAGAGGCTTAAATCGTCAGAATTTCTCGAGGGAATAATCTCATAAGCTTCTTCCCCCGTTTTCATTATGTTGCGATCCCGAACGTCATAATCCGGAGGGCCACTCGATAAGTCTCTCGGAGTTCTGTAGAAATATTCAGCGGTGCTCCTTTCCACTCGGTCCTCGTTGCAAGAACATTCAGAGTGTATTCTGAGCGGAGGCGAGTGGGAGGAGCTCGGAACGGCGCTAAGGTGTGAGGAATTCAGCACGAGATGGTGACCGCACTCGAGAAGGTGAAAGGCTTAGAGTTCAGGTAGAGGGACGACGATTCAGAATCTGTCAGAGAAGTTGCTATGGCCTTGGGTTAGGTAGCTGGTTGAGCTCTCGCGTGAGTTTGACACAAATGAGTCAAACAAACAAGGAACGAGAGCTGTTGCCTTCATCAAGACCACCGGAGATGCATCTGTTGAACAACAACATATGTGACAACGCTGCCACAAGTCCGAGATTACAGAATATAATCCTCCGATATCCGCTCGCGCTGATGAGGTCATCCGCGGACAAATTAAGGGAAGTCGAAGCGCGAGGTAGCGGTCGCGTTCCCAGAACGCGGTTCGACCGTTCGATGAGCGATTGAGTGTGAGAATTAAAAATCGAGAACTCAGTAGAATCAAGGAACGATCGGCATACCGACATGCGTTTGAGATAACAAAACATCCAGCCAACCAGGCAGGCGGCCGTCGGAGCGGGCAGGCAGACAGCTAGCCAACAAGCAGAGCGACCAACCAGCTTTCGTGATGATTTATGGCCGAAGCCAACATCTGCTCGATGGGCGGACTCTGAGCGGGTTAGATCCTCAGTCAGTCAGTCAGTCAGTCAGACGTTCGCTGCCTCGCATGCTCTCCGAGAGGGATCTTTTCTTTCGATCGTACTTGGAATCGGTTAGTGAAGTGGTCACACCTCATAAAGCCACAATCTCTCAACTTAATGATCATACCTATCATCTCCGGAAAATGAGTCACCACGAGCGAGAAAGCGATGCTCATGCTCCATAATAATGACAGCGTATCCGAATGATGATTCTCCTCGATTATTCGCCCGAGACCACAAAATGTCGTGAACGGAGTATGATTGCTCAATACAGCGGGAGGTCTTCCCGATTCTCCGTTTCCTTCTGACGATTCCCGGAGCTCAAGCCCAGCTGCTCCAACCGATGTCGAGTTGGTCCCGCCTCGACAGCGGCGCAGATAACAAGTGCTCGAATCGTTTTCTGTTTCTCGACAACGTGCAGACAATGGAAATCCGAGGTGAGAGCTCGACAAACTGAATACGCGCTCGTCATTCCCGCCCCTCGTCATCGTCTTCCTGCGACGTCTTCATGCGGGTTTCTTGCGAACGTCGGTATTTTGTTGCTGCAGCCGCCGCCGTTTCAGTTCCCCTTCCGACTACCTCGAGTGAGCACCAGCGAGCATATAGGCAGCACGCTCGTCGTGCTACGGCCGCTACTGGGCGCAAAGTAAGCTCCTCCTCGTTCTTTTTCTTTTCCTTGCGATTTCCTCGAGCTCCTCTTCCCGCACTCTGATCGTGGTGGTGGTGGTCGTCGTCGTCGTCCGCTTCTTCTTCGTCCTCTTCCCCTCGACGACTGGCTGCCCGCTCGAGCGCCCGGCAGCCAACTTCTCAAAGCCGAGGCGAAGGGAAAAGCCCGGGGAGGGACGAGCTCATTTCTTGCTACCCGCGCTCCCTACCCATTCTTACCCGTCGTCGCCCGCTCGTTCGCTCGGCCCGCTTTCATGGTACAGAATTCCCAGAATTCTCCGCGCCTTACAGCAGGCAGGCAGGAAGGCGGGCGGGCGGACGGACGGACCGGGATGCGACCAGGCCGGGAGCTCGCTGCAGCCAGCTTCGTTTGCCCGACAGGCAACGAGAAGCTACCATCCACTTTCATTGCTCTTTCTCGAGATAAGAACTTGGCTTCAGGCTGTAACGGCGAAACCTGCAGCCGGAGCAGGCGGCACACCGAAATTATTCGCCTCTGCCGCAGCAGCTAAGAGTGCGTGTACTTTCAGAAATGTCGCCCGCCCAGATACGTAGCCTACCTGCCCCTCTGATTGTCTTCGCTATTTCAACTCTGTATGTGAGCTCGTGCTCTACTTTTCGTTTTTACCCGTCTGCGTGATAGTGAGCGTCGGGGCAGAATCAGCGGATCGTCGAAATTCTCGTCGAATTCTGCTCGCAAGATACCTGCAACGGCCCAGCCGGTTGACAATCGATAATCGGTCGGCAAGGATCATCATCCGGCTGTGAGCCAACTCGTTTCATGAGTGCTCCTAATTATGCGTCCTTCCTCGGGGCAGCTCGGCGATACTGCAACGGCGGAAAGGGTTCCAACCGGAGTCGTTGTCCACACATTCTATAACTGGTGCGAACGCGTACAAGAGCTCAACGTAGGTTACCACATTTTGGTACCTCCGACGGTTCTTCGCGGACCCTTTCTCCTATGAGGAGTCGACCTTCAATGCACGGGATGTCGCTGTCGCTCTACCGATGGCTGACGGGCTCGGCGGCCGACCCCTTGATTTGGTCTTTCACCCGTCCAGCCGCTCGCTCGTTGCCAGGCTGCAAGAGGAGAGCGGGGGAGAAGCTGCACGAAATGGAACCTGGAGGAAGCGTGCGTCGTGCCCATTACCCCGGCGAATTCGGCTCGGCCCCGGTGCACCTTTTCGTCATCTTCTAGTTCGCCATTCATGGCCCGAATTCTCTATCCGCTCGCCTATTCCCTCGTCCATCCCGCCATTCCGAGGCCACAACCTCACGAAAGGAGAGATCCATCTTATTCATTCCGGTACTTCCGGATTGACGAAGCGCCAACATGGGCATCTCATCAAATACAAATCAGACTTCTCCCGAAGGGAACAAATGTATCATGTGGTGAATTTCCCGAAACATGGGCACTTTGGGTAGCTGACGAGGCGAATTCGAGTACTATCTGTATCCCGTTCTCTGATCTAGGGACTAATCAGAACGAGCCTTCATTCCAGATGGCCAGGGCGGATGTCCGACGAGTGCCCCGAAGAGGACCCGACAGACATACACCCGATACCAGACGCTAGAGCTCGAGAAGGAGTTCCATTTCAACAGGTAAGCCCCGGAGCGAAAGTCCTCGAGTCACATCGCCTTGGCGGAGCCCGAGGGGAGACAAACAGAACTTTGTTGGTGGGTACTTTGCCCGGATACCTGTTGCGAGAGGCTAGAGTCTCGACTCGCGACACCGATCTGCTCTTATAGCTTGAGTCAAATGCTTTTAGTGAAGAGTCTGCACCTTTCCGTTTGATTCGCCCGCTCTCTCGTCACTCGTCTGCCCAGCTGGTTCTTATCTTGATTATTGGGCTTACGCTGCTGTGTCCAGTATTAGTCGCTTTCAATCTAGCCGACGTCCTCTTGGGAGAAAGGATGTTGTCTCCAGTCAGGGCCCGCTCGACCGCCCGTCGGCTCGATCGGTTGGTCGCCCGGACCTGCCATCCATTAGAGGGGCCGAATACTTAATCCAAGTACTTGTGGACAATAGAAGTACACTCATTCATATTTTGTGGATAGTCGGGATTGATCTTGACTGAGAAGCGGCCTGTTTTGACACTCTCGGGGAGCGTCCTCCCGCCATTCGTTTTGCTGCTTCAGAGTGCATCAACTTCGTATCCGGAGACAAATGAATAGCTCGTTCGTGATCCGACAAATAAATATTTTGTTGGATCTGAGTTCGACTTCTATCCCAACCCCCCCATCCTTGCGACTCAATATGAGTCCTCAAATCGCAAAAGCTCTAATTTTGCAAAACGCTGCGCCGCAACGCCAAACGCACACGCCTCCCTTTTTGCTTCGAACTCCGTATCCCATCTATTAGTCAGTGTGCCTGACTGTCTTGCCTCCATTTATCTATCCATCAATCCATTTATCAATACTCGTGAGCAATCCACTACGCGACCGACTAGCTGAGCTTCTATATCTGTCTTCGGCCTGTCGAGCTATTCTTTTATCCATCTATTGTTCTCGGGGTTTCTCTCGAATCGCCCTGTGCTGCTTCTGTTTCCACCGGAGCCGCGGCTGTTGTCGTCGTCGTGGCAGCTGATTGTTATTCAGAGATTCAGCAGCGGAGCGCGATGGGCGACAGAATTCCCCTCGGCTTCCAGTCGAGACACAGGCTCGCAGACTCCAAGACGAGCGGTGAAACAGGCGAACGAGAAAAGGAAAAGTTGCCGCAAAAAAGGAAACGAAAATCTTCCAAGCTGTTCTCCTCCGCTCCCCGTTGTCAGCTGTTTTTTTCCTCCCTGCTTCGTGGGGACACAAGCTTCTCGAGGGAAGGAAAACTCGAGATACCCACCCGAACACGTCCCACATCCGCACTCCATAGCTGTCTCTTCGGTCCTTGTCGAGCGGCCGAGACCGAAGCTACCGCCACGCGGACAACAGAAGCAGAAGTTCATCATATTCTCGGTGGTCCCGGAGTCGAATAATCTTGTTCAGCGGCGATCCAGAGTGTGTTTCGTAGAGAAGAAAAATAGAATCCGTGACTCTCTCAACTTCTCACACTCCGCGAAATCGGATGTCCCAAAGAGCGGGTGTTCATTTCTATGATCGTCGGCCGGTTGGCTTCTTGTTCGTTCAAGTTTGTTGGTCGATCGCTCGGTTGGGAAACGGAGAGCTGTATGAAAAATCACCTCCACTTAGAGTAAGCGCTGTTCTCACATTAAATACATATTTCTCCCCCTGTGCTAAGAGTGCAGGGGACCCTGATTCAAGTGTAGTCCATGACAACGATCCCTATATGTAGACGACGATCCAGACACCGCGGAGTGACTGGGAGAATCAGGCACCGCGAGAGCATAACTTTGTAGCATCGAGCCCAGTCTGGCGCTTCGGCTCTTTGGTAGGCTGGCTGGCTGTTGGGCTGTTAGCGCGATTTGGGCCTCATGAAGGTATCGAGTAAAAAAAGCATACTCGTCTGCTCGCTGATCTACAGCCGCTGCTGGCGAGAGGAAGAAATCCGCAGGCGATGATTTATGAGTTTAATCCACGATGTCACCTCTTCCAAAATTTCCTGTCGGCAGGCCGTGCAAAAGCGATTATGAACGAGCAACGAATCGTTCGCTCTGTACTCTCGCTTGGCGCTCTCGATATGGCCGTGAAATTGCATTATGGAAAGAAATCTCTCCTCGAGTGCTCAACGAGGAATTATTCAGAAGCGAATGATGTCATATGACGAATAATCCGAAGAGTCTGCGACCTCAGAGCGTGCTTCGGATGCGACCCGATCCGTATGATTCATCGTAATTATCCTGAGTGCTAGGAGGAGGCGAGCTCAAAAGATACAGGTCGTATGATGAGTCCGCACTCATTTGGTTTTCGGGCGTGTCTCGCCCCATCCGTTCGCGGCGGGCAGCCTGGCGTCCGAAGGGTACTAAGGGTCTGAATCCGACCGAACGGCCAAACGACCAAACATCCATCCATCCGTCCTGCTCGCTCATTCGTTCTATGCGCTGAGGGCACACCGTCTGGTTTACCCGCAGGCTTGCACCGGTGTGCTCCACCGACTTTAAACATATAATTAATTCGGAAGGATTGCTCTTTCGCAATATTTCCGCGCATGAGACTGAGCTCATTTCGGTACGGAAAATCGAACGCTGTCAGGTGATTGTTCCCCGGCATGACTATACGTTTTTAAACCATGCTCCCACGCCGGAAGGCACGAACTTGCGTACGAGCCCTAGTGCTCCGATCACACCAGACACCCACCCATGTACGCATCAGCCAACCAAGCGGACAGCCCACCATTCGACTCGATTTCTCTCTATGAGGGGTGTCTGCGAAGCTCATGACGAATAATGAGCCCAGACGACACGTCCCGGCTCGGAGCAGTCCGAACGTAGCGGTAGTTGTCTTTCGTGCATAGAGACCCTTCGCCGGTTCAATTATTCAACCGTTCCGACCGAGGGTCTACGTGTGCTCACAATAGTCGATGTCTCGTCCTTCGAGCACCGGACTCACCGGATCCTCGATCTCTCTCATCTGGACGCCGTTCGAGAATAATGAAACGGTTGCATGATGCCGAGTGTCCGTATCGACAACTGAGCGACTGCACAGAAATTCATGGCTGTGTCTAGCTCGGGCAAGTCAAGAATTCGGATCGCGAAGGACCTACGGACCAACACAAAGCCATCTGCACGGGTATCTGTGGCACCGACTGAGACACCGATGTAGGAACAAGATTCGGACGGCCACCGCTCCTGCGATATGCTGTTAGAAGATCTGTTCTATTATTGTGGCGAAGCGCCGACCGCAACAGCCTGCTGCGAGCTTTCCGTAGCTATGCATTTGTGGGTATGTCGATTCGACGCTCGAACCAAGCTGACGTTCTTTCCATAACCCGCTATGAAAGGCTGTTGGAGGGTGATTGACGTTGCGGTTTTGCCGCGAACGAAGAACGAATATGGTTCGTCTGATCCCCGCAGAGTTTCATTCTGAGCTCGTGTTTGTCTGTTGAACCACCGTGTCGCGTTCTGATATTCTGAATGGGTGCAGAAATGTGTCATTCAAACTTGGATTAATGATTCATGCCCTGTGCTCTCTCCGAATGGACCGAAGCTGCGGTCACGATGCTCTCCGAAGATGCGATTCTCGCAGTTGTTTTCCTCCCGCCTCGTGGCTTCCGCATTTTCACTTTTCGAGGGACCTGGATCAGAATCGTCGATGTCCCTGTGATTCAAACAAGATTATGCAGCCGATACGACGGAGCGGTCGTTCGGGAGTCGGAAATTCCCGGGCGATGCCTACGGCGCAAGGAAGCTGTGCGATATCGGGTGTACGCGTTCGCACGAACAAGGTTTCAATATTTTTTCTTTTCCCATTGCAGATATCTCACACGGCGGCGAAGGATTGAAATCGCGCACGCTTTGTGTCTGTCTGAGAGACAAATCAAAATATGGTTCCAGGTAAGATGACGGAGTGTCCCTCTTTTTTTCACGCGGTGCGAATGGAGCCGTCCTCATGCAAAAACGATCCTTAATCGGTCAAAGGTTCCCCTCTCCGAGACCCACCATGTCGTCGTCGCAATCGAATCGGAGTTTGCGGCTTGATCGTCGTTGACCAGCTCGGATATCGAGGAATTGAATAGGCACTTAGGAGGAGAAAAAGTATTTCCTTTGACTGCCGTTGTCGTCAAGTCATTCGCCCATATTCTTCCCATTCCGGAATTCTCCTCTCCATCGCTCCCAGCATCAAAAAACTGAGCTCTGGGCAGGGCTTTAGTATCCGGAACAGGTCGCTGAGCGAGATTGCTTTTCTTGGGTTCATTCTCATCGTTGGCTTCCTTGTTCGTTTCAGAATCGTCGCATGAAAGCGAAAAAAGAAAGTAAACTGCAAAACGGTCTCATCCCCTCCATGGGTCTCAATAAGTGTCCCCCGTCTGAGGTTACAGCGATTCTTGCGGATGGGAAGCCCGTCACGGCGTTGGAAGCTCATCACACACTCAACGGAGGACCCTACAGCTGATTTTACGGAGCCGGCGGAACAGGTTTGCTTCCACCGGCGTCAGGCGTCCCCCTCGAAGAAACCTAACCTCCACGCGACGCTATGAGAGATAGAATTCTCCGTCGTTTGAGATAGGAACGAAAGAATTCACAATTCCGAAAGAGTCTTAGAAACGTCGGAAGGTGACGAATGGGAAAGCTACGGCGCGCGTCGCCATCGAATCTCCAAAACTCGTTGCGGGCGCAATACAAAACAGTTCCTCGAAACAATTTCTCAAAGTATCCCAAGCGACGTCTCAGAGCTTCTAGACCTCACGAGTTTGGAAAGGATCGCCACGCCGAGTGGTGACGTCACGACAATCATGACATTAGAACAAATCTTACGACAACAAGAGGCCAACGTGTTTCTCATGTAAATACACTTTCGCAAGAAAACGGTAAATACATACATAGTCTCGAAAAAAAAAGATAGCAAGTGGCTGACGGGGTGGGAATCCAAACTTCTCGTTCGGGTGAACTCGGCTGGCGGATCGGTTGTGGTTTTTCTCAAGTTCGGGTCTCGGACGTTCAATTTTTTCGAAGCCGCTGCAGAAATTTGAAGTTGGTAGGTCTTCGTCGTCGAAGGCGGTGACGTGGTTTTCTAGTACTTTGAGTCAGAGAAAATTCAAGCCGCGCCGCGGAGATTCCGTGAAAAAAACGAGAAACCGAACGGCAGTCAAAACTCAACGGACAACGGAAGAAACACCTACCTACGAATGACGCTAGTAGAGTGCAATACAATGACGACACACTCCACGATGACCAGCATGATCTCGTTGAATATCGGCGCGATCATGTGAGAACGTTATGTTTCAAAAATGTAACATCCCGCTCGATGTACAATTTCGCCGATCATCGGTTCCGTCGCGGAGAGCAGTTCTAGTAGAAGAAAATATTATATCTGAACTCAGGAGGATGGAGGATGGCTCACTAACGGGCCGACAGGCGGGCACTTAGGCATATAATCAGCTGTATGGACAGACTACTTGTTGAGACATAATGGTGGGACGCCAATGAACCAAAAGTCGCATAGTCGGGAAAAAGTTTTTAGGGGAAAAGTTTACTATACTATTATTTATCAAGAGACCGGTACAGCAGACCGAAAAGCTTCGTTGGCCTCTCTCGGTGAGTCGCTATCGGTTTACGAAGCCGAATCCACATCTAGCACCACTGCGCCTCGATTCCTCAAATCAGCAGCGGCATCACGATGGATCCTGCGAGCGTTGACCTAACCAGTTCGTTGCTAGAGAAAATAGAGAACGTCACGTCGCCTGAAAATCTTCGTTTTGACGAACGGAGCTAGCTAAGAACGATCGACCCCCAGCATCATTGATGTTCATGAAGGCTATTGTCGCAATTACATATTATAATGAATGATGATGATGATAATATTGTGCGCGAAGATCTAGCAACTACGATGATGATAATATCAATTTACGAGAATTATATGTAATGTAATATATAAGGCATACGAGTATAGGTTTTCGTAGCGAGTTGAGACCATGGAACACGTACGAGCAAGAAGAACGGACAGATAGCGACAAGTTCATGGAGTTGGTAATTCGGGATTCACTAAGCTCCAGATAAGGAGTTGTAACGGGTGGTAATGGCCGGAAAGAAAGTTCTCGGAATCTGTAACTTATTTATGTGGAATAACGAAGCGCTTCCGTAATGAAATCGGCTCAATTATTTATGGCTTTTTTTCTTTTTCTGATCGTGAGCAGAGACGAGTAGACCGATGAGGCGGATGGGATTGGACCTCGAAATCCTTTTGTTGGTCCGATCCTCGGACGCAAAGTCAGGGGCAAGCACTCCCTCGAACAGCTCTTCTCCGGCGGGATAAATGTCGACAGCAACAGCAGCAGCGACACGACAATTACCACCACAATGACATCCACAAACATGCAATAGAAATCACCCCTCTAGATAACGAGGCGCTGTACTCACGTGCGTAAAACTTTCGTTCTTCCGTCTTGCCGTCCACGTCGAAACCGGGCCAAGGGGCCTTCACCTCTCGGTGGGGACATGGGGCGACAGAGTCGGCTTAATCCTTGTACATACCGCTCTTGTGAATTCCTAGCTCAAGTTGGGCCATGGGAAAATTTGAGAGTATTCCGTAACTAATTCGAGAGAGACGAAGCGACTTCCAACGAATTTCAAGCACCGACCTGCAAGTTATGATTGGACGAACGGACGTTCGGACGAGCAGAAACGGCAACGGCAGTGTCAAGCGTGATCATGGTCATGATCGTAAGCGAACACCAATGAAGGCCGATAATTATGCGAGAGAAATCAAACAATTAGTGAACTCATAAATCATCTTCAGTCAATGAGAGAACGCAGAATAACAGTAAGAGAAATCCAAAATCGAGACTTTGGCCTCAGGTTCCATGTTCTGTCCTCAAAATTGCTCTAAACGTGTAGTGAGTTTTTGAGTTTGAAAGTACGCTGTACTGTGAAGAGAACCCACAACGCAGTCTGAGTGAGACGAAGATACCCTGTGTTGTCTCTCAGATGGAATTATTCGGAATCTTATTATTGTAAGGAAAACTCTTGTGAAATTTTATCATTTGCGTATGGAATCAACACTGATGATTGTAAATAAACATTTTGTACAATATCTCTCAACGTCCTGTATCGTTCATTTATTCGTGAGGATCAAGCATGTATTACGGAACCATGAGCTCTGCTTGATACTCTGAGTGTCTTTCACCCTCGCGAATTGATCGGTCCAAGGGCTCGCGATTCACGATGCAGCTGACGAGATGCAGAGAATTAACCTCTGAGTTCGACAGCAAACTCGAAGCACGTCGTACTGCGCTCGCTCGATGTTTCTCGTCAATGGAAATGGTTCATCCATCGAATCGTTATCAGCATGACACGGCCGCGATGTGTGACACCGGCCCCCGGAATCTCGGATCATGGTACCGAGATCAGAATGGCTGCGGAGATGTCTCTAGTTCCTCGCTGGAACGATGCATCTAGTCCACGAATGACGGACGGCGAGCTCAGTCGGCTGTCGCCATATTCGTTTGCAGCGAACGAAAAGCCATCGATCAACGGACCGCCTCCATCTCTATGGTAACATGGAACGAAGCTCAGCTGGCCAGTCCGCTGGCGACTGCACGAGTAAATGAAGGGCAACCAGGCAACCGGCCACGCAAGCAAGCAAAGATCGGCTGGTGCTGCCGCGACTACATACTGCGGCTGTTGTGACTCTACGTCTGAGCCAGTTCCACGTTTCGGCTGCCATCATGCAGCGCGAGAGCACGAAGGAAAGCAGTGCGCAGGCCATCGACGGGGCTTTTATAGTTTTACAACCATCCAGTCTCAGCACAAGCCGCGGGAGCTAGATAGCCACCCGAGGACAACAGCGCAGAAATACATACAGTACTGTATGTACAGCCCCTTTTTCGCCCGCATGCTCGGGACCCATCTTTTTTCCTTGGCCTCCGTCTCCCGCGCTCCGAGTCGTTCGTATCGCAGTGGTCTATCATTGAAATCGTGTCAGCCGCTCTCAGAATCCAGGTCCACGGCTCGAGTGGGCAGCTCTGTCCCTGGGACAATTGAGTTCACCAGAGGATCAAAATGAGGGAAATGAGGAAAAATGTTCTTCATCTCCAGCTCCAACACGGAAAATGGAATCAGTCTCAGGGGACCGTGAACTTCGAGCAGGATTCCGCTTGGCCAATCGGTTTCATTGAGGCTCATAGGGTTCTGTGGAAGCGCCAATGAACCATAATGGAGTCTTCAGGCAGAAGTAGCCAACAACGGCATGGTCCGTCATAGCCACAATGAGCGGACAAGAGAATCCCGCCGCAGCAGCAGCAGCATCAGGGATGTTCATTGGTCGCTGTCGAACGGGTGACGAATGAACGGACGGACAACGAACTGACACACGGATAGGTAGTCGAATGGAGCGTCGGCTGGCTGGATGGATGGATGAGCAGTCAGACGAGTGGACGAATGGACTGACGGATCGACCGAGCGACGGAGAGACGGACAACGATGATGACGCCTATGACTGGTCAGCGGCATGCTCGCTCACTCACTTGCTGCTGGCTTGGTTGTTGCTCCTCACGATCGTCTGAGCGACCATCCGTCCAAGTGAGTGGCAGCGGCGGCAGTCGAGCGAATGTCTGAACGACAGCAGTCGGACTTACTCACGGACGGACAGAAGGACTGACTCGCGCAGAAACACGAAAGCTGCATCAAATGATGATGAAGGTGATGACCGCGCCAGTGACCGGCGAATGCGCATCTCTCGATTCCTCGCTCGCTTCCTTTATTCATATACGTATCCTTTCATCTATCTGTCAATCCGACCGAGGCTCCATTCATTCACTCATTCATCCATCCTTCCATCCGTCTATCGCATTTTTCTTCGCCATCAGGAACATCATCTTTCTGCTTTTCCACTACGATGCCGTCTTTCGCGTCTTGTGCATCTTTATCAAACGACAACGGCTAAATTCACTTTGTGGTGGTCGTAATGCCGTCGCCACTACTGTTGCTGCCGAGGCTATAGGGAAGGAAGGAGAACAACTATCTTGGCCGCTGCCTTTTTCCAGTGACCATAATACTTATATGTACATCCACCAGCCCATCAGGCGGTTGGAAGAGTCACAAAAGCCGCTGGCGTCGATGTTCACTGGAAACTAGAATAAGAAGGGGAGACGACGAGCCACTGAGAAACATTCGCAGTATTCTCCCGCCGTTCGGTCAGGAGCTTTCGCGGCCGACTTTTGAGCACGGCAATAAAACCAATGAGAATCGACCAAAGGGGAAAGTGACCCAATATAGGACATGCGTCCAATGCGGGGCACCCAGTTTTCACTCATGAGCCGAGAAGCCAGATGAGCTCCTGGGTTGCTCAAACAGACAATTTTCGAGTGGATGATAGCTTGATAGTTGATCGAGGCTCCAAAACCTCGGGAATCCCTTTCTCGGGGAATCGTTTCCAAAACAGCGCCCAGTGTATGT